AGTTAGTTAGTTAGTTAGTTAGTTAGTTAGTTAGTTAGTTAGTTAGTCAGTTTTTCTAGACAGGGTTTCTCTGTGTAGCCTTGGCTATCCTGGACTCACTTTGTAGCCCAGGCTGGCCTCAAACTCACAGAGATTTGCCTGCCTTTCCCTCCCTGAGTCCTGGGATTACATGCATGTGTCACCATGTCCGGCTTTGTTTTTGTATTTTGAAACCATGTTATTAGCTGCATAACACTTTGGGAGGCTATGTTTTCTTATAAACTGACATTTTAACATTGCTCATGTACTCTTTGGTCTCTGGTTACATTCTAAGTCTTTGTTCTGACTAGAATCTAAGTCAGACATTATTAGTATTACCCATCCCAGCTTTCTTCTGATTATTTTGAGTTGATACATACCAGTTTTAATACTTTCATTTTTATTAATATTTGAACTGAGAATTGAAGTAGGGGGTGTGTGTGTATGCGTGTGTGTGTGTGTGTGTGTGTGTGTGTGTGTGTGTGTGTGTGTGTCTGACACAGCATCTCTCTGTAGCTAAAGCTCATTTTAGTCCTGTAGCCCAGGATAGTCTCAGACTCACAATCCTTCCTTCTAAATTCTGGCTTAAATGAGTTGTTTTGTTTTTAACAGCATAGAGTTGAATTGTGTCTTTTTTATTTTTGTGCTTGGTACATTATGCATCTTAGTAAATATCAGTGATATTTACATAGGGATATAAAAACAAATGAATTCCACCCCACAATCAGAACTGATGTTAAGTACAGTATTTAGACCATATACATTTAATGTTGGTATTGGCAAGTTTGAGTTTGAGTCTGCCATCTTTTTATTCCAGTTTTACTTGTCGCATTCATTTTTTCTTCCTTTTCTTTCCAGCCTTAAGAATTTTTTTTAATGATTTCATATAATCTCTTTTGTTAGCTTATTGGCTGTGTGTTTTCCTTATTTTAGGAACTCAACATTAGTTTTAAAAGTGACATTAAGTTTACTCAACCAGTTTTTATAATGAAGATTAAACCACCTAAGGCCATAGCAGGTAAGTAAAAGGTAGCACCGGTTCCCTTTACTCTTGGTTTTCCCACCATTTCCCTTGGTAGCTTTACTCCAAATTCCTGTTTTTCTACTTATTAGCAGTAATAGCTAATTAAATGCATAATTTTTAAGGGGACTTTTTTAAACTTAGAGGCTCTAGAACTAAACAAAAGAAAACAAAACCACAAAAATTTAGTTAGAACTAGATCGAAGAGAGACATTATTTCTAATTGTTTAATTAATTCATTCCCATATTTGTGTGTAAATCATTATCTTTTGCTTAGTGCCTGCAACCAAGCATGGAGAGTAGAAAGACAAATCATCTGTATTCTAGACATTGAAGGTCTACCAAGGGAGTAGAGTATTTAAGTACACGAATTGTACTTGAATAAGTTTGTTGCAAAGCTACAGTTATTAGGAAAATATGAATCTGCTGGGCATGGTGGTACACGCCTTTCACTCCAGCACTAGGGAGGCAGAGGCAGGTGGATCTCTATGAGTTCAACGTTATTCTAGTCTACAAAGTGAGTTCTAGGAAAGCCAGGACTACACAGAGAAACCCTGCTAGTTTTTTTTTTTTAGAAAGAAAGTGGGGGGGGGGGGAAGGAAGGAACAAAGAAAAAAATGAATCTGTAATCCTAGCACTTGGGGAGGCAGAGGGAGGAGGATCATGAGTTCAAGGTCATCCTCTCACATCATGAGTTTGAGGACACCCTGAACTACATGAGACCAAGTCTCAAAAAGCAAAAGATGAAGTGAATAACAGAAGTATCAATGAAATATAGAAATTCAGATAGATGTAAATAAGTATCAATCAGAAAAATACGTGAGTGAAACAGGATGAAAATATCTGAATATAAGCCAGTGGATGAAGCATATTGGAGGTGACAGTATAAAAACTGTCATTTCAGTAAATTGGTTTTCCATGTTGAGACAAACACCTGACCCTTGACTCAACACCATAATCAAAACTGAATTCCAGGTGAATTACAGAAGTCAATATGGAAGACAAAACAAACCTTTTAGGAAATTTAATTTTTAGGTAGGAAAAGACCCTTTTAAAAGAAATATTTATTTTCAATTAATATGTATAAAGTGTGTCTATGTGTGGGCATGTGCATGTGTGAGTGCATGTACCCATGAAATCCAGAAGGTGTTGAATCTTCTGGAACTGGAGTTACAGACGGCTGTAGGCTGCTTAGCATGGGTACTAGGGGACCAACTCTAGTGGAGTGACCTGTGTGCCTAGCTAGAGAACTGAGGGATTTCCTGGAATATGGAATTTTCAGTGCTTAGCCTAAGAAACTTTAGAGAAAACTGGGATAGAAAGATAGATTGTAGGTAGGTGGGTGGATGGATGGATGGATGGATGGATGGATGGATGGATGGAGTTGTAAATAAATGTATACCAAGAGACATGTATAAGAATGGCAGTGGTGGTCTGGGATATAGCTCAGTAGATAAAGCACCTTCTGCGTAAGCATGAGGCCCTGAGTTCAGATCCCCAGAAACCACATAAAAAGTGTGGAAGAGCCAAGTGGTGGTGGAGCATGCCTTTAATCTCAGCATTGGGGAAGCAGAGGCAAGTGGATCTCTGTGAGTTCAAGGCTAGCCTGTTTCACAGAGACAGTTCCAAGTTGGGGGCAGGGGGGTGGGCTATAGAGAGAAACCCTGTCTCAATACAAAACAGAACAAAAAGTGTGGTAGGTGTGGTGGTGTGTGCCTATGACCCCAGAACTTGGAGGGAGTACGGGGATACAGGTGCGTCTCTGAAGCTAGTTGTCCATTCAGCTTAGCTTCATCAACTAACTTCAGATTCAGTGAGAGACCCTGCCTCAGAAAGTAAAGGTGCAGACGGATCAAGGAAAGACATCTGACGTCTACCTCTGGCCTTCACACATACCTGTGGTAACAAGTGCGCGCGCGCACGCACACACACACACACAGAGAGAGAGAGAGAGAGAGAGAGAGAGAGAGAGAGAGAGAGAATGGCAGTAGCAGACTGGAGATGTAGCTTAGTGGTGGAGGGACTGCCTACCGTGCACGAGATCCTGGCTTTTATCCCTGGCTATGGATTTGGGGAATGCAAGATCACTGGGAAGAAAGAAATGGAAGGTGACCAACAGACACTGCACAAGTCCCGTAAGAATGAGTGGAGGGACGGGCTGCTTAGGAAGAGGGAGCCTCAGCAGCAGCTGGAAGCGATGCTCGTGCCGGGTGGAGCCTTGCTTTTTTGGGGAGACAGCAACATTATCCTAAGGCCTTTGCATACCATGGGCATTTACTTGGCCCTGTTGTAGAAAATGTGGGGTAATGGGTTGGAGGTGTAGAGAGTGAGAATGGTGCCTCTGCCTGGGCTGAGCCTGTACAGTGAGATAAGGCTTCTGATGGAAGCAGGGGGATCCAGCAAAGGGAAATGAGATTTCATTGAATCCTGGGATCTCTTTAACCCAGGCACCACATTTAAAAGCCCACTGGAAATCTTTTCAAAGATAGAGGACTACTATGGGCTAGGCTCCGGGCAGAATCACTTCATCAAGGATGCGCAGTGGGAGCAACACCTGGAGATCTTCTATGCCTCCTACAAGAAGTACCTGGAACGGGAGGGGGAAGAGGAGCCGCTCAGGTGAGCCTGAGGGAGGAGGCCACCCAGAAGAGCAGAGCTGCTGCTGGCTCTACGCTCTCTAGACCCAAGCAAGCTTCCTGGATTAATTCCCTCTGAAAAGTCTTTCTAACTCGGGAGAATTTCAGTAGTCTGTCTTTACTCAGTTTTTATTTTATATATATGATGTTTCTGACCATGTGCATGCAATGTCCACAGAGGTCAGAAGAGGGCCTGGGATCCTCTGGTACTAAAGTTATAACCAGTTGTAAGCCATCCTGTGGGTGCTGGGAATTTAACTACTCTGGAAGAGCAGCCAGTTCTCCTAACCACTGAGCAATTTCTCTAGCCCTAGCAGACTCCTGTAAAATGTTCTCTGGCAAGTGATTAAATATAGCTAGAATGAAGGAGGTAGCTAGAGTTTTAGAGAAGGAAGAGCCGTACAACTCAGCTGAACAGTCTAATAAGCCCAAAGCCCTGGGTTCAAAGTCCAGCACTGCAGACAAGGGAGAAGAAAGAGGTGATGAGAAATGGAGTTTATTTTAGATTCATGTATGTCCTTTTCTCTACTTTTTTCTGATTTTCAAAAAGGAAATAGCACACAGAGATATGTCGTTTAGGTCTTCAGTCATCGCAGTAAGTTAGAAGTAACATGTACTCACACCTCTGTCAGCAGGTAGGCCTTCTTAGCCCTTGTTCTGATGGTAAGAGCTGAGCTCAGTATCTGAAGTAGCCATGGTTTTAAGAACTAGCTTGCCTTGCAGCTGTGTAGCTCCCTGGCGCTTTCTTATCTTCACATGAGAGGTCAGACCTCTCATTTTGCTGTCAAGTGGACCTTGAATGTCCTCACTTCGGGACGTGAGTCTGAAGACTAAGCCTTAATGGCAGCCCTTTATTGTGACCTGAGACCTTAGCCTGGCTTGGTGGTACCCACTTTGTCCCTACTGCCTAGCAAAATAACTAGAGACCACATTAATTAATTATCACTGTGGCAATACCATGAGAATCTGCAAACACTCCAAATAAGGGGCAGTTTAGTTTATCAGTAAGCGCACTTTGAGTTTTGTGACCTTCTGGTAGGAAAGCATTTATGGAATGTCACCCATGTCTGGCCTTTAGGGGATCTCCTCTGAGGACAGAATTAGCCTCCTAAAGCAGGAAGGCAAACTTTCTTAGGCTGGGGCTCAACTCTGTACCCTATTGGCCTGTGAGTGACTCACATCTTCACTAGCACTGTCCTCATCTGTGTCCAGGGTCTGTGTGGCCACCCAGCCCCAGAAGCTGGAATATGGCTGCCATGGGCCCCAGTAGGTCCACTAGCCACTTCTGGTCTTAATTCCATATTGTGCCAGACCTCTTCTTGCCAAGGGGTCTTCGTGATTCTGTTTCCTGTCTGTCTTTTCCAGTATGCCAACCTTCCATTTCATCTGTACTAACACCTTAGCCACAATGCCAATGGATGTCAGGAGCTCTTCAGGTAAATGAGAGTGGGAGAGGGGTTGTCTGGGCAAAGGGAGACGTGCTGCATAGCACCTCTTGCATGGTGGAACTGAGTGAGGGTGGAAATCAGGCTGCCAGCTGTGGCTCGGCAGTGTCTGTTTGATCTGTGTCCCTGAGCCTAGTTTCCCTGAGATGGAAGCCCCACAATTTCAGGGAGGGACTGCCCTAAAGAGGCATGTGAGCATATGTCTGCCATGCTGCTTCTGGTTATGAACTCACCTTATAGTAACAGTCAGACCAAAGTCTGGCATCCAAATGGATGATGACCTTTCCAGAAGATGTAAGCACAGCCAAGGGGCAGCTGCACCCTAGGAGCCTCCTCCACAGAGGCACCAAACTGCTCTTCCCTGGAAGCTCACCTTTCTACTGAGTGGCGCCTACCAGAACAAATCACCCCAGACACCACAGTCAACACACTTGCCACACACACCAAAGGCTACCTGATGCCTTGAAATGCTCTTTCTTCTCTCCCCACCTCCAGGAGGAGCTTGGATCCTTGGCATACACTGGACTGGAAATCACAACTTCTTCCTCTATCCACTGAACAAAACACTGAAGGAGAAAACTGGTACTTTAACCACCACAGCTGAGACTGTGTCTAAGCTCAGGGCTCCAAGAACACATGCTTCTCCAGTTGAGCTGTGAGAGGGTAGCATGAAGGAACCAGAGCTGTGCAGGCAGAAGGAGGGTGCTCAGTGGGGGTTCAAGGTCTGTCCCCGAGTTGTCATGTTTCTTGTGACAGTGCCCAGAGTGAAGTGCACAGGAGCCACAGAATCTTCTGTGAAAAGAGCATGGGCATGGCTTCTGAAGGTCAGAGCTAGTCCTGGCCCAGTGTGGAAAATGTGCAAATTCAAGCCAGTTGCTTCACCTCCCAATTTTCATTTTCTTTGAAACACAACTAAGTCACCATATATCACTGTCTGCTGAGTGTATTGGCTATAAGTAGCAAAATCCAGAAAGTTCAACACGGAGAAGCCCTTTGAAGTTGCAACGCAGGTGGTGATTGTTGTCAGAGACAACCATGGACACAGCCCTACATGTACCCCCCCCCCCCTCAGGATAAGGCCTTGAGCGGCACCCATGGTTTACTTTCACTCACGTGTTCTTTAGAGGTCAGCTTAAGTATACACAAAGAAGGAATCGCTTTCCTCTAGCCCTCCCAGGCAGCCTGGGCTTCTAATCTGCACTTGTCTACTGACTGGCTGTGGCCTTGGTCAAGCCACTTGCTTTATGTGCCGCAATCTCATCTGTGAAATGGGGTTCTAACAGGATCTGCTGCATAGAACTCCTCTGAGAATTAAGTGAAATGCTACCTGTTAACAAGCCTGTCAATGTCCTGCGAGTGGCTGCAAAGAGCTTCTAAACTTTAGCTGTTGCTTATTTTGCTTTGGGAAAGGTGCACAGCACTGAAGAGAGAGGTAGAGAGTCTAGAGAAGGGGCTCCCTGTGCCTATACCCCAGGCTAGGCAGACCCATCTGGGTGTCAGATCCCCCAGGTGGAGGCACTGGCCAGGGCAGGTCTGTGGGGAGGGGAGCCTGGCCAATGATCTCCTCCCTCTAGACTGTGAGAACGTGTGGCCCTGTGCTGCTCCCATTGTCGTGTCTCAGATCAGCAGCTTCTCCTCCTTCCTGGCCCTTGCCTGCGAGGACGGTGTGCTCATTCTGTGGGATATGGCCCAAGGTGAGTTCCCCACGGCGCCCCTCAACTGAGCACTGATGGGTCTCCTCAGTGAGACTCCGGGGCCTGGGAATTCCTTCAATCCTTCATGTCCCCAGTCCTCCTGGGGCAGCTGGCCCTGCTTTCCCCACCTCCATTCCTGGTACACACCACTTAGCTCCTATTGGCCTGTACTCACTGAGAGCTTGCTTGGCGCCCAGCAGTGCACTGGGTCCCAGGGAAACAGCCTTCACCTTTCTTGTTACACTGCAGGAAAGACACATCTTCCTTCACAGCAGGAGAGGTCCTGCAGCCTCCTACCCAGCTCCCAAAGAAAGCAGGTCTTCTAGTACTGCCTGGCCCCCATACCAGTCAGCAGGACCTCTGCTAGTGTTAGAACTGAGAGACCTAAGAAGTAGTCAAAGCAAGAGCAGCAGCTGTTCTGGGTGGGCAGCACTGTGAGTGGGGCCCAGGGTCCTGCCCTTTGCAGAAGCAGAGAGAGTGACAGCTGAGAGGACCCACTAGCCAGACTTCAACAGGGATGCAGGGATCAACAGTGGCTCTCAGCCCCTTAGCCAACAGCTCATTCCCATTTCATCGGGAGGGTATCAGTAGGTCCCTGATTGGCAACACACACACACACTGTTTCTAAGGCCACATCTGTGCACTGTGCATCCCATGGGTAGCTGGGCTGGGCTGTAGGTACCTCCATCCCATGGCTGTCTCTTCCCCCCTTTCTTCCTTAGTCCTGGCCTCCCAACCCCCAGTTCCTTTCTAGGCTCAAGACTCTCAATGACCATGAGCTTTTCCCTCAGAGAGGCTACACATGGCTTGACTTGGTCTTTGCCCCACACATGCCCCTTCCATACTTGCTGATCATGGAACCAATGGCTGCTGCCTCATCTTTTTCTCCCCAGGTTTCCTCTTTGGGGTCATTGCTCTGCCTGAGGGGTGTTTCTGCCAAAGCATTCACTTCCTAAAGTTCTTCCTGGTGCATGAAGGGAGGAACATGTACCCTGAAGGCTCAGTGAAATCTGAAGTTATGTGTGTGGTGCTATGCACTGATGCTTCCCTCCACCTGGTGACAGCCAGCGGGACCAAAGGACCCACCAGCAAGGTGCTTCTTGAGAGGTCAGTGTCCCAGGGACAGGATAAGGCTAATCTGCCATCCAGATGACACTGTTCCAGAGGAAAAGCTCTGACTGCAGCCCACTGCCATCCGCCACTCCAGCCTGAGCACAGTGTCGTGCATGTGAGTGGGGCACACTGTTACTGCCCCAAACGATCACAGAGAGGCTCTGTTCTCCCTAAACCACTTCCTCCAGTTCCCCTAGAGATGTTTCTGTCTGTCTTTTGTTTTTGTTTTATTTTGCTAAGACAGGGTTTATCTGGGTAGCCCTGACTGTCCTGGGACTCACTCTAGACCAGGCTGGCCTTGAACTCAGAGATCCACCTGCCTCTGCCTCCCTGAGTCCTGGGATTAACGGCATGTGCCACCATGCCCAGCTATGTTTTTTAAATATTATATGCATGCAAATGAATCCATACAGAATGTATGTGTAAGGACAATGGATAAACTTCTGGTGCCCAGCAGAAACCAGTTATCCCCAATTCCCTAAGGAACTGATCATATATCTTCCTTCTTCCCTGAAGGCTGCTAACTATCAAATGCCACGCATCAAGCATCCCGCAGTATTACTGGCTGCAGAAAGCAGTTCTTCAACATAACCCCCATGCCCGAGTCAGCCACATTGGGTCTCCACTGCTCTTACCTAGCTTGCACAAGCACTTGCAAGCCTGTGGTGGCTGAGCCAGGGCTAGGGCCTGGCGTAGCTTCATTCCCACTCCTGGAAGCAGCAGGCTGTTTTCTGGGAAGCATCTGTTCCCTTCCTCCTGGCTCTCCTGCCTGCTGCCTGAGGCTTCCTCATGTGCTGGCCTAAAGATTCCCAGCAGCAAAGCACAAATGTTTCTCGCACTTCTGGTTTTATGTGTGTCTGCTAAGGTCTTCCTGGAGAAGCACATGTCCCGGCCCTGCCCACATCCAAACAGTGGAAGAATTTTTGCTTTTTTTTTTTTAGTTTTTAAAAAGATTCATTTTCATCTTATGTGTATGGGTGTTGGGCCCGGTGTATGTTTGTGTACCATATGCATGCAGCGCCTGAAGAAGACAGAAAAGGGCATCAGACGCTTTGGAACTAGAGTGATAATGGTGTTGTTAGCTAGCACGTGGGTGCTGAGAACCCAGCCCAAGTCCTCTGGAAGATCGGCAAGTGATATTAATCACTGGCCCATATCTACAACCTTAGTTTTTATGAGAGTTGCTGCTAAATGTTTGTTTGTCTGTTTTCAGTTTCCACAATGTTTTCCTTTTTTTTTTAATAATTTTTTGAGACAGGGTTTCTCTGTGTAATAGCCCTGGATATCATGGACTCACTTCGTAGACCAGGCTTGCTACAGAGATACAGAGATCACAGAGATCTGCCTGCCTCTGTGTCCTGAATGCTGGGGTTAAAGGGTATATGTCACCACACCTGGCTTTATTTTTCTATTCTTATCATTCTTTTGATTTAAAAATTAACCACCTATAGCTGGGCAGTGGTGTCTCACATCTTTAATGTCAGCACTCAGGAGGCAGAGGCTAGTGGATCTCCAAGTTCAATGCCAGCCTGGTCTACAGAGTGAGTTTTAGGACAGGCAGGCCTATACAGAGGAACCCTAGCTTGAAAAACAAACAAGCAAAACAAAACAAAATAGCCATCAATCTATGATTTTTTGCCTCTAAACAATGCATTTATTAAGTTGTGTGTATTTAGGAAATTTATGACTGGAACCATATTCTATGAACTTCCAATTGGCTTTGTGTTTATTCTATTCCAACTCATTTTGCAACATTGACTGTGAGAGCTATACATGCTGGTACATGCACCTCCAGTTCAGTTTTCATGTCCATTACATTCTGCTCCTTAAGCAGCCCCTTCCTGCTGGTGAGTATCTACACAATTTGTTTGTTTGTTGTTGTTTGTTTGGGGGGATGTTACTATGAATGATCTCTTCCCATGTCTACTGGTACATATCAAGAGTTTCTCTCAGATAAATACCTAAGAGAAGATGATAAAACTTTGAAACCTTTATAAAAAGAGAATGCCTCTTTTTGTTCCCCATAGGTCTATGAGCCACGTGGAAGAAGATGTCTGTAAAGTGGCCCCAGTCCCAGCCTTGCCTGGCATGGTAGGTTCCCAGGTCCTTGTTCCTCTTCTATGAGTGTGTTCCTCATCCCCTCCAGAAAGATTTGTTTCAGCCTACTGTGTACTAGGCATTGGATTTACTTTGTTCTGTGTGGAGAAACTCCAAGGCTGGGGGTAGTGCTCAAGAGTAGAGAGTAAGCTAGCCCTGGATTCAATCCCAAGCACCAAATAAATAGTAACATCAAAGGGAAAGTCCTCACCCTTAAGGTGCTCACATTCTATCAGGAGACAAATCACCAAACAGCTGCCTTGGGACACAAGGAAGGCTGGGACATAATTTGCAATGGATGCATTGAACAGAGAAGGGATCACCTAATGCAGAAGTTGTAGGAGGGAGGATAACGTGACTGGAGGGGACAGCAGAGCCAGAGAAGTTGAGTCAGCATCAAAAGGAACTTCCCAGAGTTGGGGTCTGTAGGTATGAAGAGGAGAGAGGGTAGGTGTGGGGCAGAGGGACCAGCCTTTATATCCTGGCTTAAGGGTACAGACATACCTCCTATCGATGAGACTTACAGCATGGAGAAGATGGGAACAGGGAACATCATCTTCCAAGTGGGGCTAGAACCCACGTGCTGGGCTGCCTCTAGATGCAGCTGAAGGAAAGAAAGGCATCGTGGCTGGTCCGGCCACATTCTGCTGATTCCCCAATCCTTTCAGGGCCTATGATGGAGTCAGGCTAGAGAGAAAGTCTGTGATTCCTAATATGATTTGGCAAAGGAAGAGGCCCCATGCGGCTCTGGGAGGCTTTTAGAACACGAATCTACCAATGTCCATTCTGTGCCCACCAGTTCCTATAGTCCCCAGGAAATGAGTAGATGCGAGAGACAACTCCAGGAGAATGAGTGCATAATGAGATAGGGACCTGAGAGGCATGTAGGAAGGGCCCTGCAAGCTCAGGGCCAACAGTGAGGGGATGAGAGCAGCACCCTGGACAGAGAACCAGACTTTTCCCTGTGGCGACAAGTGTCTGAAGTGGGACAGATGGCAGGAGGTCAGAAGAGGGGGTACTGGAGCAGGGTCACAAGGTGGCCTCTACCCTCTGCCTTTCTGTGAGAGCCGAGTCTAAGAGAAGCTCTCTTTCCTTTCCAGGTGCTAATCTTTTCCAAGAACCATTCTGTAAGCCTCATGGATGTGGCCACGGCTAAAATCATCTGTGCCTTTGCGGTCCCTGTGTCCTACCCACAGGAGATGCCCTGGGCGCCACTGTTTATTGTGTCTCCACACCATCCATATTTTCTTCTTTATGGTATGAAGGGCATATGAGGGCAGCCACCCAGCGCTAGGGTCTACTACATTCTTCCTGGCTTTCCCTGACCTCTCACAAAAGCATGGCAACACTACTCAGTTGCCTTCTCACTCTCTGTCCCAGGCCAGAGGAGGCTGCAGCTTGTTCTTTGATAGAATGCTGGCAAGGTCTTTTTTGTTCTCTGTAATTAAATACTTCTGTCCCATCTTAAGCCCGATAAGCTGAGCAGTCCCATACCCTCAGGACCCTAGCCCCATGGAGAAAGCAGTCAAGCTGAACATGTTGGTTTCCTTTCCTCACAGGAGCCCATCCAGATGATACTGATGCCACCACCTCTACTGATGATTACAGCGATAGCCCACACTCTGTTTTCTATTTTAAATTTGAGGAATACCCCCTCCTGAAAGATCTCCCCGAAAATTGTACCATTTCTCAAAAGGACTTGGAATGTAACCAGGCCTTCTCCCAGATGTTGTCACTGGAGAAAAGATGTGAGCAGTTCCTCCAGAAGAGGTAAGAGCCCTCCCATCATATGGGGTTGGGTCTGGATGAGCCATCATTGGGTGTGGTCTGCAGTTAAGAGCCTTTCCATACTTAATTGTTGCTAGCTGAAGGGTTTTACCATGTGAGCCAACCTATCCTACTCTGTGAGCTACAGGCCAATGAGAGACCCTAAAAAACAATGCAGAGCTGGAGAGATGGCTCAGCAGTTAAGAATAGTGGCTGCTTTTCCAGAGGACCCAGGTTCAATTCCCATCACTTACATAGTAGCTCACAGACATCCTCCAGGAGATGTGATACCTTCATCCGTCCTCCCCTGGCCTCAGGCATGCACATGGTGCACAGACATACGTGCAGACAAAACACCTATAAGCTGGGGGTAGAGACTCAAAGACCAATCAGCAGGACCAAAGTCCAGATTGAGAGACTGTATTAAGTATTAAGAGGAAAATGCTTCTCCCAAACCAGCCTCCAATGCACTTCACAGGGAACTCTTAAAGGCAAAGAACGCAGAAAAACTACATCCTGGTTGGCAGTTGCAACCAGGGAAGTAAAACAAGCAAGCAGTTTAACAGAAGCCAAAAAACATGCAGTTAGCTGGGGCATTTCAACTCCAAGTTTCTAGAACAGTACCCATGGGTACTTTCTCATGGGGCTTTTCACAGCAAGGGGGCAGAAAAGGAGGGTTCTGTTTCACGTTAGGCCAAAGATGGCTCCCACTGAGACAAGACAGAGAAACGTTTGACCTGTCACACTAAACACATGAAATAAGATAATAAAAAAATTGCATCTTTAAAATAAACAAGGTGGATGGCTCTTGAAGGGCATGCATTCATGCCCACACACCAGTATGAAAACATACCCATACTTATACACCACATCAAAAAGAAAAGAAACAAAAGAAAGAAGAAGAAGAAGAGGAGGGAAGGAAGTAGTGCTCTATTCAATTTCCCTGCTGTGACTATCCCTTATTTTCCCCCACTGTGGATTATCAGATACTGTTATAACAGGTTCAGCCAGCTGTGGCCCGTGGACCATACCCACACAGTTTCTCATTTTGAAAATTAAACTGTTTTTGTTGGGGCCAGGGTTGTGCATGCTGGCCAAGTGCTCTAGCACTGAGCCACATCCCTACCTCCTGTCGTATTTATAATAATTGGTTTCTTATTCTTTGAGAGCATCATAGATATATACAGTATATTTTAATCATATCCATCCTTTACTGCCTTTCTCCACATCCTCTCAGGACTGCGCCCCCCAACATATTCTCCTCTAATTTTACGTACTTTGTTGTTGATTTTTTAAAACCCATTAAGTCCAGTTAGTGCTGCTCACATGCTCATTGGTGTGGAGCCGTTATTAGAGCATGGACAACCCAACAGGGGCTAAACCGCCAAAGAAAAATGCCTTTCCCTCCCACAGTAGCCAGCAACTGCCAGTAGCTTTTCAGATAAGGGTGGCTCCCCAAACCCTTTCTCATCCACACTGTAATGCTGATTGACTTGCTCGGTGTAGTTCTTGTGGATGTAAACCACAGCTGGGTGGGTTCGTGGGGGAAATGGTCCTGTCAGGTCCAGGAGACATTGCTTTACTCTGACTCTTGCAGACTTAGTACTACTTCCTTGATGTTGCCTCTGCGTTGGTGGAAGGAAGTGATACGTCTGTTGATTTAGGGCTAAGCACTCTGTATTCACTTACTCTCTGCACTCTGACCAGCAGTGAGTCTCTGTAGTCACCACCCCTGCAAAAGAGTCTTCTTTATGAAGGACGAGAGTTGAACTGATATGTGGGCTTAAACATAAGTATTTAGAAGGTAGTTTAATACTATGTCCATTTAGCAAAATATTATAGTAGTAGGTTTTCCCTTTGGGCTTGTGACCTCCCCCTGTGATGGGTCTCTGGTCAGTTTTACAGCACCAGAGCTGAGTTCCCTTCTGTGGGGCCAGCCAACTTTAAAAATCCCATTTTAAACAGTAGTGGGTCATCACCGTAGCATTCATGCCACTATTGCACCAGTGGGCATATCTTGGCAAGTTAGTTCCCATCTGACCAATTATGTTAATTACTTTCTTCCTCAGCTGCCTACAGAGCACTTTCTGGTACTATAAATATTGGCCAGCAGGGAGGAAACTTCCAGTCCAGAACCAATTTGATTTCTCTATAGCCTATGACCAAAGTGTATGGTGTCTTGAGCAACAGTGTCTTACCATCAAGTTCCCTCGGGCAACTAAGAAAGAACAATGGCAGGATCCTGTAGTGTTGTGGGGGTGGGAGGTCAGGATCTGGTACTCCACCTTGACAAACAACTCAGAAGGACGTATCCCACACCTAACACTGGGCTTCTGGCAGGAGTATTAACTCTCTCTATAGTATTAACTCTCTTTCATTTTAAATTCAGTCTTATTGGAACACAACTTCACAGTTATTCTGTGGCCGCTTCTGTGCTACCACGCCAGAAGTAAGTAGTTGCAATAGAAACCCCATGATTCTTGAGGTCTGAATTACTCTCTGGCAATTTATAGGAAATGTTTGTCCACCAGTGATCTCTAACTTTCTTTTCTCCATCATAGATGGTCATTATGGGTGAATTTCTTCTCTTTTGTTTATTTCCACTCTCCCCAACCCTTCCTTTCTGGGGAAAAAAAAAAAAAAAAAAGCCCAATGAACAGCTCTCAGACTCTGGAGGAGCAGTACTCTTCTAACCCAGCTCACAGAACATTTCAGAATGGCACAAATCCTTGGTGGTTCCTAAGTGGGCTGGCCACTTCTTGAGTAGGATAAAGTCATCTGTGGATCCTTATAGTCTCATCCCTGGCCTGACATTCCAGAGCTATGTGACTGGCAGGTCCATTCCCTTCCAAGACAACGTTAGCCTCATAAAAAATGGCCTCTGAGCTTCAGTGGTTTCTTCGGTCAGTGTAATATCCATCCAGTCCATCAGACTATCTCCCCTTTCTTCATTTAGACCTCTCTCTCAGGAAGTGCAATGGCCAAGTTATAGAGGATTAAGACCAGACAGGCCTAGGTTGTAATCTTGACTCTCATGTTTACTAGATGTGAGACCTGCTGGGTTACCCTCTCAGAGCCTGTGTCCTTGCTCACAGGTACAGAGCATCTACCAACTGCCAGGACATGTTCTGGCATTTTGATTAGGCTTAACTTCTAGGGCTTATAGGTTTTAGGTAAGATAATACATACAAAATGCTAGGTGCAGTTTGTGTCTTTGATTTGTTTTATTTTGTTTGTTTGTTTTTGTTGAATTTTTCAACACAGGGTTTCTCTGTGTAACAGAGCCCTGGCTGTCCTGGACTCACTTTGTAGACCAGGCTGACCTTGAACTCACTTACCTGGGATTAAATGTGTGGGCCACCACACCCAGCTCCCAGTTTGTGTCTTAATCACTGTTCTACTGCTGTAAGAGACCATGACCAAGGTAACTCTTACATAGGAAAGCATTTAATTGGGAGTTTTCACATAGTTTCAGAGGCTTAATCCATTATCATCATGGCAGAGAACATGGCGGCAGGCAGGTTGGAAAAGTAGCTGAGGGCTATATCCTGATCCCTATGTGGAGAGAGACAGAGAGGCACAGAAACAGACAGATAGAGACAGAGACATGGAGAGAGAGAAAAAAAATGAGAGAGAGAGAGAGTCTGGGTCTGATGTGGGTTTTTGAAACCTCAAAGCTCACCCTCAGTGGCACACTTCCTCCAACAAGACCATACCTCATAATTTTTCTCATTTTTTCAAGTTGTGTCACTTCCTAGTTTCTAAGCATTCAAATACATGAGCCTGTGGGAGCCATTCTCTGTAGACCAGACTGGCCTCAAGGGAGCCATTTTTATTCAAGCCACCACAAGTGGTTCACTCTATAAATAGCAGGTATAATGTTTCCTTTCTTTCTGTTCGAATGCCGCAGGGCCAGGGAGATGAATCAGAGGTTAAGAGCACTTGCTGCTCTTGCCAAATGCTGGGGTTTGATTCTCAGTAGTTATATGGTGGCTTACAACTGCCTATAACCTCAGCTCCAGGAGATATGATATCATATCCTGGCCTCTGAGGGCGCTGCATGAATTCAGTGAGCATACATATATGCAGGCAAAACATCCATACACATAAAATAAAATAAATAAATTTAAAAGAATTTAAAAAAAATCAGAATGCCCTGGAGGTAATCCTAAATATGACCACTAGGTGGCAGCATAGCTTGCCTCTGCTCCCACTCTTCTAGACCCTTTCTACAGTTGTGCTGAGTGGCTTAAGTGGCTCTCAGTAGCTCATGCAAGGAAGTGTGCCCCTTGATGGAGAAAGAACCGTGGTCTCATGGATCTTGGATGAGGAAAAGGGACAGTGGAGGAGGGCCTGTTCTGCTGACAGAGCCTGGGTTAAAGGTTTAGCAGCAGTGCTCAAGAGCTCTCTCATTCCGACCCTGGGGACCTGCTCTTCAGATAAATTTAGGGGAAAGTATCATGATTTCTACATCGTACTTCCAAATGGCCAGGAAAGTATTTATAGAAACAGAGAGTAAAAATGGTAAGAGATGGTGAAATCTAGGCAAATGTTTACAGAGAGCCCAAGGGAAATAAAGCTAAGGATGGTGGTTGAAGGTTCATTGAGCTATTTGCGCCCTCTTAACAAGTTTGAAAGTTTCCAAAAGGAAAAGACAGGGAGAGATGATAAAATATGGTTGACAGTACCATGCTGGTTTTGAGTCGGGAAGAAGATGGGAAATGTGTATTTGTGGGAACGTTGGTTACAGTGGCGTGATGAGCATGTGTGGTGGTTTGTTTGCTTCGTGTTTTCTTCTATCTGAAACTTCTCTACAAAAAGCCTCCATTGTTTTGGCAAACAGACTGCAACAGTAGGGAAGGCATGTCTCAAGTGTGAGACTAGGCCGAGGCTGTGGGGAGCTGCCTCCAAGGGCCAGGGCCTGGAGCTTCCTGATGTTCCCTGGGTGGGCGGGGGCTCTGTGACCTTCCAGCTTATTGAGCTTGCTTCCTTCCATTTCTGTC